GAGCCAATCCTGGGAGATCGACGGGAAAGCCTGGGCGAAGTCGAACGCGATCAACGAAGGGGCCTGGGATGATACAGCAGCCATAATACTAGCCGATCGAGCGTAAAGGGCCAGGTCGACAATGCTATCCAGAAAGTTGCGCCGCCGAATAAAGCCCCGCTGGGATGGGGCCCCAATCTTCTGCGTCACCAAGCTAAGTGTCTGGTTCAGTACACTGCACACCACTTTGTTCGAGGAGTTCTTGAGACCCAGCGGGCAGGTATCCCCAGGGGCCCGAACAACGCCACCATCATCGGGATCATGGGAAGGGGTCTTGGGGTCCTCGGGGGGGAAGACTGCCAGCAACGCCGTGAAATTGGATGGCATGAGATTCCCAAGAGCAATCCAGCGAAGAACCTCAAGAAGAACCCGAGACCCCGACCCACACCTCCAGGCCGCGTAATGAAGCCCATCGGGGCCAGGGGCGGACCAGTTCGACGGTTCAAGTGCGCGCTCCACATCACGAAGGACGGGTGGCCGAACCTCTGTGAAATCTTTTGAGCTGCTGAATTGGTTGATGTATTTCCTGGCGATGGAGGGGACCGAATGGGTCTTGGAGAACACAGGGCCCCAGTATGAGGCCAATGCGTCCACCATCGGTGCCTGGGAGGGAGGAACTAGTTCCGATGCCAGGGGGCCACCCGCCAGCATCTCTGAAATCGAGATCATCTCCGTGGCCGTGACCGATGCTAAGTACTTACGTCTTGAAAGCGGATTCCATAACTGGGCAGACCGAATGAGCGCCCGACGACGCCCTGCGAGACGAGCTTTGACCGTGGTGGACGACGACTGGTTGAGCTCTGACTCGAACGCTTTTCGACGAGATTATGCTTCCTGCTGTTGCCACAGACTATGGAGATCATGAAAGCCACCAGGGTCAATGAAAGAAACAACCTCACCTTCTACACGTATGAGACTCTGTGTCCAGGGGTGCTGGAAGAGAAGAACACGGGCAAGACGAACATCACCTCGCCAAACACACCGTGCAATCGAACGGGAAATCATGGCCCGAGAAGTCAGAGAGGATGGTGCGGCACGACAGATGGCATTGCGAGCGAGAAGACCTGCAGCCTGACGAACAGCAGTAGCAGCAGCGAGCATGCGCGGAGGGTCGAAAGCGAGATCCTCAATCCGCACCTGGGCTTCCATGTGGGAGACCAGCTGAGCGTAAATCTTATCCTTGTACACCCAACGAGGAAGAGGCCTTTGGCGTTTCGCTCGAACATCATCCCGAGGGCGCCAGATGATCTCCAGAGGCGAGTGATCAGAAATACCCCGGTGGGCCAACTCACGCGGTTCATCACGGACCGAAACAAGTTGGGCAGACTGACAAAGAAGCCATGGAGGGGATGCGACAAAGAGACGATCGATTTTGGACTCGCACGCAGCCGGGGCGTGCCAATGAGTTGGTGCCTCTGATGCGAGCTCCGTCATCCCCCCAAAGATTTTCTGCCAGTACGAGTCGCCAGGACGGGAAGCACGAGTAGAGCCAACCCGCAGGGTCGGGTCGCCACCCTGGCCCATACTGGCATGCGACGACGCTGAGAGAGACGGCGGCCCCTGCGTACTCTCCGAAGTCGCGGCACTGGGGGAAGCCGCAGATGGGGGAGAAGAGGGAGAGGAAGACACCGATGAGGAGGTCGAACTTGACAACCATGGCCCTGAGGGTGGTGTACATGTGGCCAGAGCTGTCGCAGAAGATGCCGAACGCGGTGAGCATGTGGTCGTGGGGTGGTGACTTTGCAGGGCTGAATCCTGCCCCCCACGACCTGATGAACTTGGAGTACAGGGGTGCGCATCACCGCGACGGGGGTTGATGGGCGTCGCCGAAATGTTGAAGTCGTCTGTGAGAACAACTGCGCACTTCAAGGGATGATCGCGCACACGCTGTAGTTGCAACCGAATGCAAGCATGGACCTCCTTCAAGCTGGCGGCGTCAAGGGCAAAATTGTGCACGTTCCAATGGTAGATCGTGAAGTCTACTTCTGAATTGTGTATGGTGACTAGCAGAACCCGACCAGCAACAAAGCTCTTCCCCTTGGATCGAACGCGTGGGCCATTCGGAACGAGGGTGGCAACGCCTCCCGTCCGAGGCACTCCAGAGTCAGAGACGAAGCAGGTGTGAGACGTACAGCGTATCCGCTGAAGAGCTTCTTCCATGGCACGTTCACCACCGTGGATCTCCTGTAGCGCCACTACTTTGCCAGCCCCCATCAGTTTGCTCAGGTAGCTGAGCTTCCTGCTCAAAATCGCTGGTCTGTAGTGTAACAGGGCGCCCGTGTTCCAGGTCGTGAATGCCAGGTAGCCAACTCCAAACACTTCGTTACCCACTCCACCGAACCTCACGTGTGTCGAAGACCTGGCGAGCAAGATCGTCGGCGTCCTCCTTGGGCAAGTTGGTGTCCGCGAGTGCTGAGATATTCCACTCCACCTTAGGGGTTCTGCTTCCAGGTAAAGGGAGCACGCGCGCCAGGGGCTCCCATTTGGCCAGGAGTTGGCCGTTGGCCTTGTCGAGGTACGTGCGGCTGCCACGGTCCACGAGACATCGTTGCAACTTCTTGCATGCAATCTCTGTGGCCACCATCTTTTTGTTCTTGTCCGCGGAGATGTGCAGCGGCACTGCCTCAGTGCCCACGTCAACACGAAATGCGCGCCATGATCCATCTGGGAGACGGAGTTGCTGCTGTGCCTGACCCCGCCTCGAGGTGCGGGTTGCTTCCATGGGGCCTTGAAAAGCGAGGGTAAAAGATTTCGCCACATCATCTCCGTGCAGCTCCACCCCATCACCGAGAGGGACGTTTGCCTCAGTGAGCCATGGAGCCGACGCCGCGGCCACTGCGTTCTTGGCCACAGCAGTAGAGGCCCGCACCGTGAGGATAGTGTGGTCCACGTCCCTGTCCCACTCTGGGTTCGGCACAATGGGAGGACGCGGCTTCGCCTTTGCCAGGTCGAGCTCCTGCTCGAAATGCGAGAGGCGATGGGCCAGGCCCGCCACAGTATTGTCGAGCAAGTCCGAGCGAGCGCGCTGTGCATGGATCTCCCCGTCGACGCGGCGCGGCTGCTGGTTGAAACGCTCCTCGTACTTCTCCATGAGCGGCACCGTGGCAGCACTGAGCGCAGCAGGAAGCTGTGCCAGTATGGTCTCCATCGCCTTCTGTGTGAAAGCTTGCATGGCCTCCGCCTGGAAGGAGTCAGAGGACGGGGCAGCGGGGCCACCAGCATCGTGAGACGTGGGGCCATGGGAAGCAGCCGCGGTAGCCCAGGGATCAGGTACTCGGCCTTCAGCGGAAGCTCCAGGAGTCGCCCACGGTTTCGAGGCTGGTGGAGTCGGCCAGGGCGACGGTGAGGGCGTTGCGGTTGCGCCCACAGTAACTGGTGGAGCCTGGACTTGCACATCGTCAACAGTGATGGGTGTGGCGATGCCGTAGTGCTGCGTTCCACTGGGGCCGTCCACGATGACGGGAGAGGTGCCACGGCCAGCACTGCGGGAGCGTCGGGAGCCCTCAGCAGAAGCATCACTGGCAGCAGGAAGGTAACGGTCCCGAGCTCGAAGGCGGTCACGCTCACGATAGTCAGCAGCACCGTGAGACTCGCGAGGATCACGCAGCCGAGACGACGGCGAAGAGGCACGCGGGGAAGAAGAAACAGATCGTGATGATGCCGTAGGAGCACGCCGTTCCTCCTTCGCCTTGCGAGACTTCCTGCCATGGCGATCGCCGCCCATGAGCACCTGAAATCAACTAGAGCGGAGCGAAAGCTCGGTGGCAGGAGCCCGTCCCTGCCAGTGCAGGCTCGGTAAAATCTGGGGTCCGTCCGCGCCTCAGCGGCACCAGAGGACTGGATTGGAGAGTGGCCTCAAAGCGGAACCTCCCTCGCGCTCTGATGTCGCCCCGAAAGACTCGCGGTCGTCGGGACGGTTCATAGGAAGAGGAGGAGGAGGAGGAGGAGAAAGAGGACGAGGACGAGGAGGAGGAGGAGGAGGAGAAAGAGGAGGAGAAAGAGGAGGAGGAGGACGAGGAGGACGAGGGTAAATCCAAGACTAACCAACGATGTTGGAATACACCCGCCCTCCAAGCTCCCTCTTCACAGGCCCCCACACAAATATTTTCCATTGAAGGAAATGCCCCGTTGGGAGACAACCATGTGAAAATTCGGAAACGTGCCAAACCACCATTCTCAGGACCTCAACGCCACGAGTCAACCTGACTGCCCCGTCTTAGCGATACTGAATCTTGCCAGAACACCATTACTGGGACTCCAACACCGCGAATACACATAACTGTTGTGCCCTGACCTTCAAGCCTTCCTGAACCGCTCCCAAGCACCATTCACCATTTCTGGTAAGTTGACCATGAGAATCCGTTAGACTCTTGCGCAGTATTGTAACGAATGCACGCGGCGCTAAAACGAGAACCGCATCTTGAAAAAGAGCCGCCCTCAATCCGTGAAACTCTGGCAAATGTTTAAAGCGAATGTGCGCGGCGCTAAGGCGAGAGCCGTATTCTAAAAACGAAGCGCCCTTAATCCGCCAACTTCTGGGAACTTTACATAACGAGCGTGCGCGGCGCTAGGGCGAGAACCACACTTTGAACACCGCCTGTCTTCCATCCGTGTAACCGCTGTTATTTGTTCTAACGAATGTGCGCGGCGCTGAGGCGAGAGCCGCATGTTGAAAACGGCCCGCCCTCCATCTGTGAAACCGCTGCCTCCTTCTAGGCTTCAGGCTCCGAGCTATCCAGGAAGCCTCGAGCGAAACGCCTGGCCCGCCCTTCCGACCGGCCTTGGGGCGCGACAGGGAGGAGTTATTCAGAAGGGAGAGGAATGGAGGAGAAGGAGGAGGAGGAGGAGGAGGAGGAGGACGGCAGAAGGATATGCTTGAGGAGGACATGAGCGACGAGAAGGATCATGTCTTCGGCCCCTCAAGTCGCCGAGGAGGAGCAACAGGTCAAGGAGGAGGGCGCCTGCTCGGGCAGTGACAGTCGCGCAGCCAGCGACTTTCGGCAGCCCGCCGCGCCCGGATCCACCGCGGGCACCTCCCGCCCGCCGCGCAGGGGAGAAGCGTGAGCGACGAGGACGGGGAAGAGGCGAGCAGCGACAAAGGCGAGTTGGTGAAGGGGAGGGGGACAGGGGGGGCAGGGTGGGGTAGGGGACGGGTGGGACGGCGGAGGGGAGGGAGGGCGCGGGGAGGGATGGGAGGCGGGAGGGGGGGACGATGCAGGAGGGGAGGGGGACAGTGGGGAGGAGCGGTGCATCTCCTTGGTGTGTCGGGGACCGTGGGGGTGCCTGTTGAGCTGAGGCAGGGAGCGCTGGGGCCCTGGTCTAACGAGGTGGGGGCGTCTTGACTTGTTCGCACCCCTCCTTCCCTCCTCCTTGTACCTGCACGTTGGAGGGTACAGTGCTGTCTTCGCCTGTCTCTCACCACTTGAAAGCATGGGCTTCGAACCAATGGGCGAGTGGGGAAGAGTGGGGAGAAGCAGGAGGAGGATGAGGAGGAGGAGGAGGAGGAGGAAGAGGATCTGGATGGGGGACTCCGAATCTGGATCTCCGGGGACAACTCTTGCTCGAATTCTTCAAAGATCTGCCCAGGCTGGCCATTTTGCTTGTTTTTTATGTTATTTTTTACCTAACAGCGAAGACTGACAGGTTTCTAGTAGGGTCCAAAGAGAACATCATAACGCCCCAAGGGGTCTGGGCGCGATCCGGGGGAGGGTGCCGGTAACTTTTTTTTTTTTTTTGCCAACAGTTACACACTTGTCCCAGAACTCCATTTCCGGGACACATTCTGAATGCCCGGAGCCAACTGTAGGCCACTTCGTGGTCTTCGAGTTCCCAGAACTCCATTCCCGGGCCACATTTTGAATGCCCAGAGCCAACTGTAGGCCACTTCGTGGTCTTCGAGTTCCCAGAACTCCATTCCCGGGCATGATTTTGAATGCCCGGAGCCAACTGTAGGCCACTTCGTGTCTTCGAGTTCCCAGAACTCCATTCCTGGGCTACATTTTGAATGCCCTCCAACTGTAGGCCACTTCGTGCTCTTCGCCAGAACATTTTTGAATGCTGAGGCAGGCTGATGCTGAGGCTGAGGCAGGCTGAGGCTGAGGCAGGCTGAGGCTGAGGCCGAGGCTGAAGGCAGACTGAGGAGGCTGAGGCTGAGGCTGAGGCTGAGGCTGAGGCAGGCTGAGGCTGAGGCAGGCTGAGGCTGAGGCTGAGGCAGGCCGAGGCTGAGGCTGTGACTGCGACTGCCGTTGCCACTGCGACTGCCATCGCGAATGCGACTACGACTGCGAGAACAGCAGAATTCTACAACAGGATTCTCATCTGAATCTTAAGGGGAATGCTTCCAGATATGCTCCTACACATCGCTGCTAGGTTGCTTTGCCGGGATATTCTTTTTTATTTCAAAAAAAAAAAAAAAAAAAAAAAACGCACCGCCCGAAAGCTGTTACGACCCCGCTCTGGGGCGAATCGACAGCCGAGACGGCGCCGGCCCCAGACTCTCTGTCCCTTACGGACCAATTCCTCTGGGCCCTCCTCCGCCCGCAGCCGGGCAACTCGGCCGCCGCACAAGAGAGCGCCGCGGCGGCGAGCGGGCCAGGCGGGGCTCGGGCTCTGGGCCAGCGCGGGCGGG